TAAGATAAACTGACATGTTTTCGGCCAGACAGATAATATACTGACCAGATAGCCAAGTAACGTAAAATAATAGAGCAAAGCATTAAATTGAATTCACTACTTTACATTGGATTCATAGACTATGAAACAGCTTTTGACAGCATTCTCTCTTAAATTTAATGGGGCACTATGGAATCCCACAGAAAATAATTAACTTCGCAAAAGCAACAGATCAAGACATGAAATGTCGAGTTCTACACAAGGGAAAGCTAACAGACGCATTTGAGATAAATATTTAAAAAATAAAAATAAAAAACAGTTGTGCGACAGGGATGTCTTTTGTCACCTCTCCTAATTTTACTGGCAATAGACTGGATTAGGAAGACAGCAACTGCTAACTTTTTGATGATCTGGACTTCACTGATGATGTTTCTCTTCTGTCCCAGGCAATTAGTAATCTAGTGTCTCTTATTGGTATCCCACGTGGGGTCGTACACATATGTGGGCAGTAATGTAAATAAAGATAGGGGGAGAACTGATAGAGATATTAAAATACAAATACGAAAGGCAAGAGCAGCTTTCGTGGCACTAGGGAATTAGTGGAGGTCTACAGAAATTGAAAATATTACTAATCTTAAAAAGTGTAATTCTAATGTTCAATCAGTTCTGTTGCATAGAGCGGGAACATGGATAAGATCTAAGGCAGTTACTAATGAACTGAGCACATTCATTAACTGGTGCCTGCGCAGAATAGAGGGAATTAAAAAAGAAAATATTAAGGGATACAGCCCCGTATGTGAAGCCGATCGTTTGGCCTGTAATTCTTTTAAACCTTACGTTTGATACTTGAACACTTTTTAACTCATTGAATAGCCTTCAGAGGAGCAGTCGGTCAATCGATAGATCGGTTTGTCCAGGCCGGCTTGCAACTTGAAAGTTTACTATACAATCCTCAGATTGTTTAAAATCTCACTTATGACCGCAGACACACAAGGTAGATCAACTTCTGAAGAGGTTAAGATTAGGGCACCCGTAACGGTTACTCCAGCCAGGAGAAAGCTGTAGTCCTGTCTTGGTAAGGACCAGAAGTAGTCTTTGAGTCTCTTCTTCTTACAGTCCATACCGTGTGACACTGGTAGTTATGTCTGCCCACTCCTTTCTGCTTTCATTCACTGCTGAGACAGATGCTCTTCCGTGTCATAATGTCAAACTGTCCAACATCTTCTGTCTCTCTCGGTCTTAGTCTGCCTCTGTTCCCCCTTTAACTTTTCCACCGTCACGACGTGTTCCAGTTTCTTCTTCTGGTGATGTGACCTAAAATTATTAATGTTTCATCCTGATGTGGGCAATCAGTTCTCTTCGCACGTTAATTTTCTTCCAGACATATTCGTTGCTGTTTTTTATCAGTCCGTAGTCTTCTCGTCATTAGTCTATAAAACCACAACTGACGCTTCCACGCAATTGTTTCATTGTTCATTCTTCCCTTCACTTCCACACATCAGGCAGACTTTAAGTCTCAGTGAAATCTAGTTTTAGAAATGTGGAACAGGGCGAGTTGATGCAGCCACTGTGTTAAAAAAGAAAGTGACAAAAAGACTGCATAGAAGAGGTTAACAAATGCACTATGTATATTGTAATAAATAACCGTATGGTGGGTTCATTAGTACCGTATCAGTTTAAAACTTATTATGGGTCGCCGATCAAGTACTTGTGTCTAACGACTAGCTGGTCCAACCAGTTGATGTTGATGAACTAGTTTTCTTCTGTACCTTTCAAACTAACTTCAGTTCTCTCGGCTTTGTAACAAGGGCCCTTCGTTCCCAAGCGGCGCATCGGAAAACTGATTCATGATCCATAGTTGTATGTACAAATCGAAACATTAGTGGGTGATGTGGTGAACAGTGTACCGGCCGCCTTTATTTTCCCAGGACAAAACATGGTACCTTTTTTTCTTACGCAAGATCAATTTGAAAAAGAATCCAACTAGAGATGATTCGAACCTTAGAACTTCGGTTCAACAGGCGAGCGTCTTGCCACTACCGTGGCTCCAGCCAGTTCCCTTGATATCCTATCCCAAGCAAGGCCGTTGTCTCTCAGATCCTATCATCTCCTTTTTTTACCCTGAATTCCAGCCTGAAAGACTGATAACCGGTGACTCATTGAGGTGTGACTTTTCGGAAGCTAATCTAACAGTGAAAATCCAAGAAAAGTCTCTATAAAACCGTCTCTACCCAGTATGGGTCACAGACTCTTAAAAGCTTAAAGGGTCCCAATAGTTAGTCTTGTTAGTTTGCTCCTGTTGCAGATTGCCTCTATAGGAAACATGGAAATGTGTCATAGCAACATAGCAACCGAAAATGCTAGGTACGTACCCCAGCACTATTAATTAGCCATCTGGCTTGTTACCACCTCAGTCAAGACAACGCGGTATTGTTCACAAAAATATTTAATTCGGTCGATACCTATCACCAAGGCTACTGGCCTCCTGTTATAAGTTTCTAACAGAAGGATCGAAGAAAAAGTTCCGGTAGACCAGATTTCCTTACTCTGACTGGCCAAATCTGAACATTCATATATGACAACCTCTGAAGCACACGTGAAATAGAAATCAGCAGTTGCACGAGAATATTTAATATCACTAAAAATATCTCAAAGCTTTAAAGACCTGAAGATTTTTTTCATCGTACTGGTTCAGTCACATATTTCTCTTTCCGCCAGTCGAAAACGTCTTGCAAAGCACAAATAATTCTCTAGTTCCAGCGACAATCTCCAGTGATCATTGTAAACACTACACTCCTGAAACGAACCTTTCATATTCAGAGTGCCAGGTAAATGGATTTACCACTCAGTCACTGAGAACCCCAAAAATGTATGATCTTCAAGAATCCTTCCCAAAAGCTGCAAAACCAGCCAAACCGTCTGGCTTTTCAATGTTTTTGACACTGACACAGCAACGAAATTAGAAAATAAGAAAGATATTAATAAGTTTTGCTCCGAAAGGCACATTATGGCCTATCTTTGAGTGACGTCTTACTTTTTTTCGTTTACAGAAATCTAGATTTATTCAAGTACAAAAATATAAATTTATTTAAGTACCCAAAAAATTACATTTATTCAATTACATAAACACATTTATTCAGATATAAAAATCTTGTCAATTTGCGCCTGTCGGAATAACTTCTTGTTCAGCATTCCGAGCTTTTGAGGTTTTTTGCTGCAGATACCTACAGCCTCCATTCATCTCTCAGGCTGGCCTTCTCTTTCCAGGTGGGGACACCAAGTGTTTGTAAGTTTGTGTTAATATCTCTCCATCATCTTCTTGGTCTACCTCGTGGTCTATGCCCATTCATCTCCCTTGCGTATACAGTTTTTACCTCTTTGACATTCTCTCAGTATGCTACAGCCATTAGTCAGTTATCCCTCATAATGCCAGTGATAAATGGTGATTTAAACAGATTGTGAATAGCATTGTTTTTTTTTTTTTCTCACTCTCCATTCCGTGTCACGGAAAACATGAAGAGTCAACAAGTTGTAGGGGACGTAATAAAGAGAGCGAATGTTGTTACAAAAAGATCAATTTATTACCCTTATATAAAAAAAAAAAATAACATCTTTTTCGATGGAGTGATTCTACTTGCTTGGTTTATACAACAGGCCAGAAACATGGCACAAGGGTAGTTACCCATGAGTGCTCCCTTCTACTTCTAACTCAATCCTGAGTCCGAAGATTCTCAGCGCAGTGCACGAACTCCGTAGAACCGGCGAGGATCATGAAATACTTTGGGTAGATTTTTAACTCCAAAATTTGCCCGGACAGCGCCGTCAGGCTACTCTTTCCGATTTCCAACTGCCAGTTCAGCAAAGTTCATTGTAAGTCATATCCATGTGGGATGTAATTTCTTTTTTATTTAAAGCCCCACCCTGGCTTTTGCTGGGGGCCCTGAATAGAGCCGGACCATAAATATGGCCTAGGATATGGCCTCACGACTGAAAGGGGTTTCTGAAACCTCTCCACGGGTGATCCTCATCTGCATGCTGGCACTTTGTGTCACTGTGTGTTTGTCGCGTGTGTGAAGCTGAAACTATCATTACCATTACCCGACCAGGTAATGATAATGATAGTTTCAGCTTCATAGCAAAGGGGTCACCCCATATTGTTCCGCTCCTGTGCCAACGAAAAACACACAGAATGTTTATCACAGTCCCTTGTGGAGATATTGACAGACTGCTGTCTCAGCATATGCGCTAGCATACACGCGCATTAGAAGTTCTAAAACAAACAGTCGGACATTAGAAATGCAGTTCATCATCGACGGTAGCAGAGGTAACCAACAAATCAGCAGTTGCACGCGATCAATTTTAATCACATAAGGGCACCACCAATATTGCAACGACAGGCCACGCGCCATTTTCTGAATCTACAATTCACAGTACCACGTTGGTCATAGTTGAAAAAACATTCCAAATAAAATCCGCAGCTGACATGGTCGCACCATGCACTCAACTCAGTAGCTGGGCGACAAAACTATATCCCTTCAGTCTACAAATGGAGCACAAATACAACGGCCACCGTCTGGCAGAAGCAAATACTTTGCCACGACGCAGAACAGTGACCGTGTCCTTTCCCTCCCCCAGCTATATAGAAGCTCTCTTTGTGAGTGTTTGTTTATATATTTCATATACTATTTTTTTTTTCAATGTATCTTCGTTTTTTTTTTCTTTTGCAAATAAGTATATTATTATTACTAGACAGCTAAACAAGGTTTGTGCACCATAACCCCCCCCCCCATATGTACAGGGACTGGGCTCTCCCCTTCCCCAATATTCCCTCTGTATCGTCACCGCTGTCTAGCACCCTATGCCAGACCATGGCCAAACTTTTTCGAAGGCGTCGGCCAGACAGATGTGTAGTTGGCGGGAAAATGTTCCCGCTGATTCCTTACTTGTAATCATTTATTATCATTGTTGATAAATCGTGTCTAGCTTCCACTAATTGTACTTTTTTTTCCTTGTCTCAACAGAATTTGGAGAACATCAAGATCGTGAAGAGAGCACAGGACAGCATCATCTACAAGAGCTACAGCAGGAAGATGTCAACGACGATGGTGGAGCGGGAAAAACGCCGCCTTCAGCGCATGCACACAGTGGCATGCATGGGCACTCTACCGGGCTTTCCCAAACAAGCAATATCCCCACCCTGTATAGAGGAGGCCATCACAGAAATGTGACAAATGATGTTGATATCAGTTGTTTGGGAACCCTTGTGGCCATTGAAATAGTATTGTTGGGACTAAAGGTTCAGATATCGCAGCCTATCAACGACAGCATTGCGTATCATTCGGCATTCTTAGTAGAAAGCCGCAGGAAAACAAATCCAGTTTTCCAGCAGACTGTACCGCGTCATGATGTGACCCACCAATATGAAAAGTTTTGAAAGCTCTGGTCTAACGTGTACTTTTCTGTGTCTTAATGATTTATTTCATTTGATTTAGGAATCGAAATCACAACACTCAGGAGATTCCCATAAGCGCTCCTTGCCCATCTTTAGCAGCCAGTGGAAAGTTCCGAAATTAATGGTGGCAGTAGCATTTTGATTAAACATCCGTCTTGCCTTTCCTCTGAGGCTCGAGCAACTGTCAGAACCTCTCCTCACTCCCCGCTGCATCAATCTCATCAGACTGTGTGATCCATCTGCTCCTCCGAACTGTACATGTTCTCCCACAAGGCACTAACCACGTCTATCTTATCATATATCAGTATTCAACCAGGTTGTGCAGAGCCAGCCAGTCTGTCAGCCTTTTTATTTCCTAACACACCAGCCTCTCTGTGTCTTAGAGGTTAGTTAACGCGTGTCACCATCCTCGACGAACCAAGAGTCGAATTTGATGAGTTACATGAGTCGCACCGTGGAAGAGATTATAGCCTCACCACGTAAGTAGTGTATAAGTCGTTTACGGGCCGTATTTGAGAAATCGATCTCTCTTTATCCTTAGTAAAAGATGGCGGCCAAAAGTGATTGGTCTGTTCGTGTGGCTTTATATATCCTTAGTAAATATCGATCGGGACAGCCACCCTCTTTGTCCTTAGTAAATATCGATCGCGTGGCTGATGACAGCACAAGTGATTGGTTTTAGGGAAAGGTATAGGAAATCGATACTTTGTAGATGCATTATTATCTTCATAACTGCAGGTGACAGGTGGCATTATATAAAACGGGGGCAGGCAGGAACACTATTTAGGTGAGCAGCGGGGGCAGGGGACCCGGGGCGACTAGGAAGGCGGCATGAT